TGCGATCCTGTGATAACTGTAACGAGAATAGAAACAAATGAGATTTTAGAATTCATTGAAATTAAATTTTAAAGACACATCTACACGTTTCCAAACAAAAAACAAAAGCCACAACCACATAGTCTTACACTGGCGTGGAAGGTGAGCGAGAAAGTCCTTGTCTTTGGCCTTCCCCTCTTCCTCCTGCTCTTTGTCATTTTTCTGTTCATCTTCCTCCACAATAAAATCCTTCAGACTGTCACTACTATCAGCAAGTTTTTCCTCCTCGCTGCTGTCTAGAGGGCCGCCGTTCTCTTCCACACTAGATTCATCACGAGTATTGTCTGCTTTACTTTGCTCTTCAACTTTGTCCTTCTTGATCTCCTCTTTCTCCTCTTCCTCTTCTTCTGAACCCTGCAGAAAAAAAAACAGACAAGGTATCCAGTTAACCAATACATTTTAAAGGAACGCTGTTGTTTTTGTCACCATTACTATTATCACTGAAGATGATATATTATTATTAAAGTGTCAACAGTGTAAATTATAAATGGTTAAGAGTGAGACATTTTAATTAGCATAGAAGCTACTCAGTGAATAAAAAGTTACATGAATTGGATAATTGGTGAAAGAAAAAATACATTTTAGGTTTTTCCTGAACCATGTTTTTCCCCTGAACAAATTACAGTACTGTGTGCAATTGTCTAATGTACAAAAGGCACGTTAGTATTTCCACCCCCAAAAAATGGTTTAAGCCAGTTATTTATATCTTTTGTTGTAGAGTGTCAATAGGAAATATCAGTTTACATTTCCAAACAATCCTTTTGCCATGAATTGTAATAATCTAGTGAGATTTTTGTATGCACAAGGAGTCTGGAGATCATGGCCTGTATGATCCACACGGAGATCTGATTTCACCATCATCGAGTCTGTCTGTGATTACATGAAGAAACAGAAAAAACAGACTAAATCCAGAAGAACTGCAGCAACGTCTACAGGGGTCTTGAAGAAACCTACCTGCAAATCTGCAGTACTCCGAAAAGTTTTAGGCACTAAAAATGCTGTAAAGTGAGGATGCTTTCAAAAATAATGTCATGAATACATTTTATTTATGAATTAACATCTATTTACTAAATCAAATCAATGTTTGGTGTGGACCACCCTTTACGTATAAAACAGCTTTTGTCCTCGGTACACTTGCATAGCCTATAGTTTTTCAGGTAGCTTTGCAGGAAGGTTTCTCTAAGCATCTTGGGAGACGTTGCCACAGATCTTCTGGATTTAGTCTGTCTCAGTTTTCTGTTTCTTCATGTAATCCCAGACCGACTCGATGATGGTGAAATCAGATCTCTGCGTTAGAGCATACCGCTGTTAGGCTGTTGTCAGACTACTTGTGCATACAAAAATCACTCTGGATTATTACAATTAATGGAAAAAGGAATGTTTGGATATGTAAACTGATATTTCCTACTGACACACTACAACAAAAGTGCGGATGAATCCAATGTTTGAGGATAGTGTGCAGCTGTCAGTCAGTCTGTCAAGAACTTTCACCGGAAAATGTCATCTGAACTAGTAAAATCCACTTTTGTTCTGACCAACTAAGGGGAAAAAGCATTGCAGTAAATCGCGCTGATTAAATCTAATGATTTCATATCGCGTCAAACCGTGCAAATTATACTTTGTTCTCACATGTTAACAACATCAGCATTGCGTGACTACATTTAATGCCCCGATATTTATCCTTGTTTTCGCATGGGCCCAAATGCAGTCTCTTTTTTTCTGTGGCCACTCTGAAGTCCGAAGTCTTTTGCATTTTACAACGGGTGAATCTCCAGTTGTCACTGGTGATTGTCATTTGAACCTGTCTGGATCCGCCATCAAATTGATAAGTTTATATAAAGTGCAGTGAGAAAAGGCTATAAATCTCCACCTCCAACATCTACTAACTAGCCGAGACTCCTCCTTAATGTGTACAGATGTGACGTAATGACGCAAAGACATGCTCGAATTTCCCGCGGAAATCCACCAGTGCCACTGGAGTTAAAAACATGATTACAAGCTACCGTTTTGAATCGAGCTAAGGCAAGCAGGTAGTTTTGAACACTGGCTGGTAATGTACCTGCTCAATTTATTTTCGATAATTTTTAACCCAAAAAAGTTGCGGACTGCAGCTTTAACTACTGTTTCTTGCTCATTCATGGTCAACTTACCAACGTCCTGCGCCTGCGCCGCGGGTTGCCTGACTTTCTTCTCTTTGACAGCTCCATGAGTTTATTCTTTCTCTCTTTTCTCTTGGCAGCAGCTTCCTTTACCTCTGCCTCTCTCTCCTTCTTCCGCAGAGCCTCGTCCTCGGAGTCCTCCGGCAGCCTGAGCCGTTTTCTCTGCAACGCTCTCCTGAGCGGCTCTCCGCCGACGTCGCTCGAGGACTCGCTAGAATCGCTGGAACTGTCGTCGAGAGCAACAGGAGCGCAGGCGGGTCTCTTCCTCGGTTTACGGGACGCGGCGCGTTTCTCGTCCGTGTCGCTGCTGTCATCCCCGTCACTCTCGCGTGCTCTGTACGAGCTGTCGGAGGAACCGGACTGCTCTTCGGAGTTCTGGTATTCGCTTCCTGAACTGACGCTGGTCGTGCTGCCGTACGAGCCCTCGTCGCTGTCTTCTAGCATTTCATCAACGGGGTTCACGCGCGTCTTTTTCTTGTCAATCCGAGACTTTGGGGGCGCGCATTTTCGCCTTAACCCAAAAAGCTTTCCTACGCTTTTCATCATATTGACGGATAAAAAGTGACACTTCAACCAAGAGAAATATTGTTATTTTTTTAAACTTAATCTATTTTAAGCCAGCTGTTATGTATCTACAGACACATGATGAGCAACAGGATGCTGCGTGCGCGTGCTGTCAAATTACATTCCGTCTCGTGAATGATTATTAGCTATTTTTTTCTTATATTAAATCATTTATCCGAGCTAGCAGTTGCAGATAAAGCCCAGTATATCGTTATAATCAATATTTGACGAGTGATTTGAATAAATATGCTTATCAGCATGTATCATTCTTCTCCAGTCCGCTGCACGCGCCAATAACATGAGGGGGCGTGTCTGTGTTTTTGTAGATACGCACTTCCGGTGTTCGCTTCACATCAGCTCGGACACTCGCGCCACCCAAAGACCAGGAGAATCGTTGTGGCATATTTTTATTCGCAAAAATGTGGGGTTATATTTTTAATTGGTTGAATTTAAACTGATAACTATATGAGAAAATGACTTAAAATTGTTTCAGTATAGTATAGTTTTCTTTAAAAGCTTCAAGAATCATTCCTTTTATCACTGATAGTGATAACAAACTTTAGTTTAGTTATCTAAACGTTCAGATTAAATCCTACATTTTCCTAAGTTTTCAGTTCTTATGGGTTAAATAATAACAACAACTTTTAATGAAGTCAGATTAACAATTTAATTATGCTCGTCATCCTTTTTGTTCAGATTATTGGATGGAAATAGCAGCGTAGGCCTCCAGCCTTACACAACCAAACTGTTTATATAACAGTAATTCAAATTAAAGGCTGCACTAAAGACTTTTAAATACTCTTAAAATGACATGACACTTACAATGACCAATGGACTCGGGACTCTCAAACCCGGTGGTCTTTAAAGGGGTGGCAGTGATGAACAGGCTCTTTAAGCTTTGGGTCCCGGGTGAAAGAGACTCGATGTAGCTATCTGGAATATTTGGAGATGACAAACTGTCTCAGACCTGAGCTCCTGTCTTACTTTACGTGTGAGAAATACAAAGGACATATAAACTTTAATGCCAAAATTCTTCGATTCAAAAATGCCCTTCTTATTTAATTTGTCATTCTTCTGTGATGCAGATGACCACGTATGGTTAGGAGGAAGAGCGGGGAATGACCAGATTTAAATATTTTTAGTAATATTATTTTAATATTAGAAGAAAACCAATGTCATATACATTTTCCAGTATGTTTTGAACCATATATAAACGTATATCTGACAGATAGGTTGGAAGGGGAGTGCACACATTAATTTTCATGAGGAAAGCGATGTCTAACGGTCCTCGTGTGGCTGTGAGAGGAAACACAATCACTCCCCTCCAGCCACTTCTGCAGGCGAATCAATAACCTAATGGCCACTGACCAGCGAGTTTCAACGAGAGAATAAGGAATTGGGAAATTCAAACCTAAAATACGAATATGATCTCATATTTCTGAAGATTGTTAGAAACATTCTATTTGAATTATGAGTCTAGTTGTGAAGTTGTCACAAGGGCAATATCTCTCCAACTATAAGGTTTTGAGACAACAACAAAAAAAGTCCAAGAACACAAAAGGTAGGTTTTTACTGAATGGCTGAAGCATGTTCTAATGAAGGACCTTTTTCTGGTAGTTGCACTTGTCTTTTACGTTTGCCAGTAAGCGTTTACTTAGTTGTTTTCTCATTCGAATGCAAATTTTAACGTGTAACTCACACAATATTTACAAAATGCATTGAATAGCATATAAAAATTAAAAAACATTTACAATAATTTAGGAATAAAGGTGGAAAATGAAAAATGTAAATGAATTCAATTTGAGTTCCAAAGTTAACTGGTTGGCCCCTATATGCATTTTTTTAGTCATGCAGTTAAACTTTATCTAAAAGAAAAAAGAAAAGCCTAAGCTACCAAGTTGAATAGTTGTATCAGATTTTTATTTGCTATAAAAGGTTTTACATTGTATCAATTGATTGAGTTAAAACATTGAAAACAATATAACAAAAGAAAAAGGAAAATATGTCATTACAGACTGAGAGCAAGTTATAACGTGTGTAGACATGCAAACTGAATAAGAACATGTAAAAAAACGTTGCCTGTTATGATGCGTAAGTAAATATTCCCTTATGCTTGTCAATGTAAAGTACCAAAGCACAAATTTTTTTTTTTATTAAATTATAACAAATTAAAAAAAAATTGGAAAATATTCTTGCAATGCACTTTTTGCTTTAAATGTCTGTTTAATTTGATTATTTAAAGCTTATAATAAAATTCTTCCAGAATTTAGAAGCTTGTCTGTTGTGTGCAGGAAACTTTGTTTTATTTTTAAACAAATAGGCCTACATGCATATTTATTAATAACAAAGGATGTCAGAATGTATTAAAATTTTGACCATTTCTCACCCATTGTAAATATGTTTTGTTATGACCAGATGTGAATTGCACCATCAGAGCCTGCAGATAGAATGTATTCCCCTTTATGGTCAAAAATGACACTCTGAACGGCATCATCATGAGCTATTAGACTAGACATATGTAAAGATGCCACTTCTACGGTTTTCACAGAGCCATCGTTACTCGCCACTGCTAGCATTCTTCCATTTGGACTGAAGGCCACTTGATTGCTGGGATGAGGCCCAGTGTCTATGGACACCATTGCTGACACATTCCTCACATCCCATAATTTGACCACCCCAAAAGAGTCGCACGAAGCAATTGTGTCACCGGTGGCATTGAGGGCTGCATGGTTGCATGAATGCTTGTGGCCGTAGAAAGTTTGGGCACACAATCCAGCGCGGGCATCCCAAAGAGAGAGGGTCTTGTCTGCCGAGCAGGTTAGTAAAATATTTGAGAAGGGCAGGAAAGAAATGCTGTTCACAGAGTCAACGTGTCCACGCAGAGTGCAGCGGCAACGCTCGCTATTCAAGTCCCACACTTTAGCAGTGTTATCCATAGAACAAGAGGCCACAAAATCACCACATGAATGGAAGGAACAGGCCCAGGTGGCGTGGATGTGTCCCTCCAAACTGAGCATGCATCGACCTTGAGCAAAGTCCCAAATTTTAACTGTGGCGTCCCCACTTGTGGTACCCAGGTAACCACCACTGGGATGGAAACTACAGGATGACAGCCAATCAGTGTGACCCTCGCCAGTCATGATCATCTCTCCCTCTGGTATTCCCCATAATCTCCAAAGGTGGTCATCACTTGAGGAGGCTACTATCATTTTACGGGGATGGAGAGCGAGGAAGCTTACTGCCATTGTGTGTGCTTTAAAAGACTTTGAGAGAGAGTAGTTGGCTGATTTGGTGTTGACAGAAGAGAAAGCTTTGATTTGAGGCAAGTAGGGATTGACGCGAGTGCTGGCTGGGAATTCTGAATCCTTAGGATGTTTTGTGTTCTTGTTGGGGTCTTTTATAGCATCGTATGATGCATTGTTGTCACATGGCGGGTGTGCTCCTTTCTGGGTTTTTTCTCTTTCCTGTGCAGGGTTTGCAGCTTTTAGAGCTGTTCGAGTTCCTGGGCAAGAATGCGTGGTACGTAGAGAGTCTAGGTTCTGAACCTGGCTGAACGCTTTGTCTCTCTCCAGACTAACCAGCATCTTCTGCCTCACAGCTGTCTGATACTTATCGTTTAGCTGTCTAAGAGCAGGCTCGTAGGACGCATAGTGTTTCTTCAGCTTTTTTATGTCCTCAATAAGTCTATTCTTCTCTTGAACAACACGCTTGTGCTGCATCTTGTGGAAGTCTCTCTCTCTTTGGAGCTTTACAATGGTTTCTCCAGCTTCAAATGCAGCCTGTTTATAGCTATCCCGCTCTCCTTGTATGTTTTTTAGCTCATTGTCCAGGAGCTGGTTGTGTGTATAGGCATCAGGTACGAATTCCATTTGGTCTGTTTTAATTAAGCCTTTGTGTATCATCTCAAACCACTCTGTCTGGAAGCAGTCTAGTGTTCTTTTCATGCCCATTTTTACCAGATAATTGCGGAGAAAGTCGTCCACCACCTCAGGTATTTTAGGAACTGGATGTCTGGCTGAACTGACACTCTGACTTGTGCATTCGGTATGATCCCGTGCTGCTTTAACGACAGTTTCCAAGTCCTCTTCCCCCTCAGTTATGCTGAATTCGTCGTCGACAGTCACTTCGTCGTATGTATATTCATCCTCGGAGTCCTCTGGAATTAAAACTTTTTCGAGGTAATATGGACCGTCGACGGATTCCTCAGCTGCCATTTTCACAATAGCCGCTCTGTGGTGCTTTACCTTGTGTACTGTTTCCATGGTGAAGACGAGCGTGACCATGAGAACTGTCCTCGTGTAAACACCGATACCATGAAAACATAATGCCATGTTGTTGTTGTTTTGTATTTTTTTTACTCTTTTTTTTTCTTTTCTTATTTGATATGAGAAACTTATTGATTAAATTCACCATAAAACGGACACAAACAGTTCGTGTTCAGACATAAAAAAGCTTAAATAAACTTGACCTTGCATATAAGAAAGCGTTGTAACTTGGCAATTCTCGGTGATTATTTACTCATAATTTTCTCCTTTTCACTTTTTATTCCATTTAAAAAGGTAAATGTGTTTCATACAGTAGATGGCGCCCAAGGCGCACTGTACTGAGCGCGTGCCACGCTTGATTTCCACACTAAATTCTGTTCTACAAACAGAACATACAATTATAAAAAATATGACAGGAAGCTATGCAATAATGTTAATTTAAAAAGGTGTCTTTGGAATAGCATTCTCATTTCTTTCTTTCTCTATTCATAGGCTTGCATTTAAAAGTTACATTAGCTACTACAACAACAATAATAATAAAAATAGGCTATTATTATGATTATTATTACTGTTATTATTATTAGGTTAGGCTATTACTGTTATTATTAATGACATTCTGAAGTAGTCAATTTCAATCTGAAATGTGTTGGATAAATGTGTATATTTTGCCAGATAAAGCGAAAGTGTCTTTAAACTGAAGGACACAGCCTGTGGCAGAGGCTTTTATCGGAGAACCAATCAGATGCTCTAGATCAGTTTTGGAAGCTGAAGCATCAGTACAAAGGTCGGCGTGCGCGAGCTTTTGCAGCGCTCAGTCAGGCAGAGCACCGGGACGCGCGCGCTCAATGGATTTTTGATTTCTGTAGGCTATAGCCTTCATTAAAGCCAGAGATATGAGCAAAGAAGCAAAGGGGGGAAATCCAGACCAAACAAACTGCAAATATAAATCGCATCTGTTGTCCTCGTACTGTATCGACAGTATTCTAGGAAGGAAAGGTTCCTTAAAAGTTAAAGGTAAGTCGCTTATTATGATGCATTCCTGTTTTAGTTGTTTTCACATGCATTGCACTGAATTATAATTCGTAAACTCAATGGTATTCAAGAGATGAAGCTTCGGCTTTAAATAAGAATTTATTTCTGTGGACTTGAAATAGGCCTAACAATTCATTAGTGTGTAGCAAATATTGTATTACAATCAGCCTAATTACATTAACAATGTGCAGTTACAAGTAGGCCTGCAGAGTAATTACATATTAAGTAGCCTACACCCTAAAAAAATATGCATGACAACACGTTTTTTACGTTGCTTTAACTCATCAAAATAAGTTAAGCAATTTTCATTTTTTTTTTTTTCGCTGCAGGCCTAAGTTAAACAAGATTCAACTCATTTAAGTCAGTTTAATGTAATTTAAGTTGAAATGACTTAAACATCCAAGTTGATTGCACTTTTTTTTTTTAACAGTGCAGCTCATATAAGGCTCATTAAGAACAAATCATATTAAATTAAACTGCACGGACATTAAAAGTATAGTCTTCCCTGTGTAATTAAATTATGTTCTTATCTATAACTTAATTAATCCTATTAATAATAATTTAGATACATTATTTTTACTGACAGCATCCCCGGACAGTTTGTGGTCCCTTCAACCAGACATGCACCTGCCGCCGAAGCTCCGCCGCCCCTTCGCCGGGTTGACAGACTCCTCCACCATAGACATTCACACAAACGAAAACGAGGCAAGACTGCTACACACAGCTTGTGAAAAGATAAAAATTACTGAAGCCTCTCTAGTAAGCATCACTCGTGCTAGATCGTATCAGGAACACGCGTCTCTACAGTCCTGCAAAAACGCGTCCAGTCCCTCGCCAGGACCGAAGGAGGAAGAAGCCGAGAGAGAGACAAATGTGTCTCCGAATCTATTGGGGCTGCAAGAACGAGACGCATATTTGAAGAATTGTGAGGAAACTACTTTATCAGCGGGAAGTGACACTGAAGATGGGATGTTAAAACGAAAACAGAGGAGATACCGGACCACATTTACCAGCTATCAGCTTGAGGAGCTTGAAAGAGCTTTTCAAAAGACACACTACCCTGATGTGTTCACAAGGTAACGGCAACACCTGCGGCAAATAATTTGAATTACATTTTGGCTAGACCTTAATGCTTTAACGTTATGCAATAATAAACAATAATAAAATAAAGTGATTTATTGGTTAAATGGCATTATCCGTCACATCTTCATTTAAGACAACAGTCATTTTCAATAGAATTTAAAAAACACTTTTAATGTTTAATAAAAAAAAGTTTAGGCATTAATTATTAATTATAATTTATATTTCATGTTCGTTGCAATACAGGTTGCCTACATTAGCCGTTTCAATGGGGAATGTTTAGATAGATTGAATATTTGCTCACAAGAATGTAAACGAATAAATAGCCTATATATATATTTTTTTTATTTAAATTCATTGTCAATGAGTAAAACAAAAAGATAAAGACTCGACCTACAACCTCTCTCTCTCTCTCTCTCTCTCTCTCTCTCTCTCTCTCTCTCTCTCTCTGTAATTAAAGGGAGGAATTAGCAATGAGACTTGATCTTACAGAAGCACGAGTGCAAGTAAGTCACTTTCTTATTCATCTCACCTTTTTCAACATTCATAGCCTGTTCTCTTTCACTCTTCGTGACTGGGGGCACTTAAAAAGCATGAAACATTAAGAAAATATAGCCTATCCTAAATATTGTTGGCATTTCTAAATTACAATTCTACACAATGGCAACAATTCACGGGACAAACTATCGAAAATATAAGATTCATATTGAATATACAGACAGCCTACATAGGCCTACCTGACTTGTGGATTTGTGTATAAGCTTATTTCGATACACTTAAAAGCAACCTAAAAATAAGATCTGGATATGTAGATCTAAGTGAGAAGTGGGCAATTAGATAAGCTATTACGTCAGATAAAAAATGTCCAAGAATATGGAACATTCAAGGTTCTTTTAGTTGGCTCTTTATTTAGCTCTTTTACAAACTAAAGGCAACTTTACACGTGGCTATTTTTTTTATTATTATTTTTTTTTTATCTGACTAAAGCAGGTTATTTCCAATTTTTGTTTAGCAATATAGTCTAATTCTAGCCTATTTTTTATGAACCACTTTCATCAGCAAACAACCCTCTGTATTAAAGAAATAGTTATCCCAATAATAAAAATGTGTTTTATCATTGATATTTACTCACCCTCATAGTTGTTTGTTGCACAACTTTTTTTTTTCTTTGGAATCCAAAATAAGACATTTTTAGATGTATTTTTTCAAAAAAAAAATCACATTTTGTTTTAGAGAAGACGGAAAGCCATTCAGTTTTAGAAAGACATGAGTGAATGACAGGATTAAAATTTTTAGGTGCAGTTTTTCTCAGTCATGACTCATGTGTTATCACAGATGAGATGCAGAAATAATACAAGTTCTGTAACATTGCATTTCTTGTGATATCCAAGAATATTCTATTTGAGCCTGTGGTCTAGCTTTAATTTTTCTTTGACTAAGGGAAAAATAGCAATAGCAACCGTAATAGCAACTTAATTTTTCTATATTAAAACAACACAAGTTGACCAATGTGCTTTACAATGTCACACAGAAAAGAAAAAAATATATATGAAAGCACATCAATAGCTTGATGTGCTTTCATGGTAGTGGGACAAGATTTCTTTACCAAATGTACAAACTGTTCTTTTTACTTATTACTTGTAACTGACAAAAGCATTGTTTTTCTCTCAAGGTATGGTTCCAGAATCGACGTGCAAAATGGAGGAAACGGGAAAAGGCGGGGGTTCAGTCACACAGTCTGAGCCTACACTATCCTGGAACCCCCTCTGCTCCACAGTCCTTATGTCATTACCTGAGTGGGAATCCCTTTGTCCCAAACCCGCATCCAGCTATTGATTCAGCTTGGCCTGGCCCCCTCCAAAGACTGGCTCAGCCACCCCCAAACTCTGCTTCCCCTCACGGCTTCAGTGCTCTGTTAGGGGCAGCCATGTTTAGACACCCCGCTTTCATGAGTCCCACTTTTGGAAGGTGAGCCTCATCTGCATGTTCAACACAAAACAATTAAGTTCCGTTTCACACTATAATATTCTGTTTCTACATTTCTCAACAGACTGTTTACAAGCTTAGGTCCAATGGCACTGCAAAGGATACCCCTTCCTGTCATCGATAGACCTATTCAACGCTCCCACCTCACCAACAACCTTCTCTCCTCTTCACCACCCTTACCGTCCCCTCCAACGGTGGACTTCCATGCTTCCAGCATAGCAGCACTGCGTCTCAAAGCGAAGGAGCATTCTGCTCAACTTACTCACATCACAGCGGCAGGAATAGCTGGAAAAGAGGAGTGCTGAGACTCATCTCACTTGAGAGATCAGACCAAAGTCAAGCAGAAGCACTAATATATAGAGTTATTATAGACACGTCTCTTCAGTCTCTGGAAGTTGAATTGTATCTTCTAATAATTCTTTCTTTGTTTATTGCTGGTTGTTGATGAGTGCTGAAAGTTTTTGTTTTCAACAGTTGTTGAATGAACCTTCTAGATATTTTCATCCTGTTTTCATAATTGTAAATGGATACAACAAACATAAAACAGCTATATCTGAGCAAATTAACAGGGCAAGCTTTTAAGTGTTACTGTTACACATACACACTTTTTCAAGGTTTGTTCTGTAAAAGTATTTTATTCTACATCAGACATACAGTATTAGGATTTTTTGAAAAAGGTACTTTCTGTTCACAGAATAGTACTAAAACAGTTTTGTTATGGTTGCCATGTATTATACCATGAGTTTTATTTATATTTATTAAACTTATGAGCCACAATTCAGGGAAGGAAATAAAATAACCATATGCTCATCTTGATTAATTAGCCAGGGAAATATTAAGATGAAAATAAAATGAACTGAATCGAAAATGCTTTGTCTTAATTCTTCTGTAATTAATGCATTCAATAAATGGACAAGTTAAAAAATGGATAAAGACTTGTTCAATTTCTGGTGTAGGTCATTTTAAAATACATTTCCCCCCTTTGCATTACATCAGACATTTTCTTTAAATCACAGATTGTTTGCACAAAACAGCGTTTTAAGCAACCTTGCAGAAACCACAAAATGTACATTAATTTAATGCAGATTGGGGCTAACAAGACGCGTTTATTTTTAAATATGGCAACAGTTCGCTGATCTGATTGAGCGCATTTTTAATATCTTTATAGGTATTTGAAACAAACAAATAAATAGTATGAGGACGAATACGAGAAAATAAACATTTATTTTAAAATAATTTATTACCTTCTGTTACCTTCATTAGAACAAGGGGTCGTCTCTGCCGCCATGGGAATTGCTGTGAAGAAAGGCAAAATTTAAAGCTTTAACACCTCCATAGGTGTCCATGTAATCTGGGCATTAATGCCCAAACTTGTTTTCACTATTCACGCAAATTAAGAGGCTTACGCTTGTCTCAGCTTCCTACTGTCCTTTTTTCTTGTCAAAGGCAGTTGTTAAGTCGATGCCATTCGTAAAAACTTTTCTTTAAAAAAAAAAAAAAAAAAAACCTAGTTTAACTCCTTCGAACTAAGCTTCATCCAATTAGTTTTGTGTATACGGTGATTTGTCATCTGATCAGTGAAAACCAGCATGTCGTTGGACCAGCGTGGGACTTTGTGTAGCATCTTTGACCTATACATTGAAAGCAATGAATAATATAGCCTAATGTCCTACTTAAGATCTGAAACGCTATTCAGAAACCACCATTCAGAGGTCTGCCCGTGATGACGTAGGGCTTTAACGTGTTAAAATGTTTGAATGGTCAATTTAAACCACTGATTACCAACCACGGATTAAGACACTTTCTATAAAGAAAGGAACTGAACATTTTTTCGGGGCTTGCTATTGTGAGACCTCTGGTTATGGTGACTTGAGGAGTAGGAGGATTAGCAAGTATTACTATGGAAGTGCAGGTGTCTTTATAAGCCTTTTTTTCACAAACTGAATCACCTACTGATAAAGTTGTATGAGAACCCAAATTGATTAATTGCATCTAACATATAACTTTGTTAATATATTAACAAACTTTTGTTAGATGCGATTAATCGATTTGACATCACTAAATATAATGTGTCCCCAATCTCTTGGGTTCTCATACAACTTTACATATATACAATATATATGTGTGTGATATGTGCATATGTATATATTAAGAAATGTCCTGACGAGGGGTGGCTCAGGCAGAATAGGAAGCCTCCAGGGTGGTACCAACGTTACAGGGAACCAGGGAGGTGGTGGTGGCTCAGGAAACCTGGGAGGGACCAGATTCACAGGGAGCCAGAGAGGTGCATCAGCTCAGGGAGCCAGGGAGGTGCATCAGCTCAGGGAGCCAGTGAGGTGCATCTACTCGGGGAGCCAGAGAGGTGCATCAGCTCAGGGAGCCAGTGAGGTGCATCTACTCGGGGAGCCAGAGAGGTGCATCAGCTCAGGGAGCAAGAGAGGTGCATCAGCTCAGGGAGCCAGGGAGATGCATCAGCTCAGGGAGCCAGGGAGGTACATCAGCTCGGGGAGCCAGAGAGGTGCATCAGCTAAGGGAGCCAGGGAGGTGCATCAGCTCAGGGAGCCAGCTCAGGGAGCCAGGGAGGTGCATCAGCTCGGGGAGCCAGGGAGGTGCATCAGCTCAGGGTGCCAGAGAGGCTCGGGGGGCCTTGTCTGGTAGTGCAGGCGGCTCTGGGACAGTGGACTCAGGGGGTCTGGAGCCGACACTGGTGCAGACTCAGGAGGTCTGGGGGGCTGGAGCTAACACTAGAGCGAACTCAGGGGGGGCTGGAGCCGACACTGGAGCGGACTCAGGGGGTCTGGAGCTGACACTGGTGCGGACTCAGGGGGGCTGGAGCCGACACTGGAGTGGACTCAGGGGGGCTGGAGCCGACACTGGAGCGGACTCAGGGGGGCTGGAGCCGACACAGGAGTGGACTAAAGGGCTGGAGCAGACTCTGGAGCACACTCAGGGGGGCTGGAGCTGACACTGGTGCGGACTCAGGGGGGCCGGAGCTGACACTGGAGCGGATTCAGGGGGTCTGGAGCCGACACTGGAGTGGACTCAGGGGGGCTGGAGCTGACACTGGAGTGGATTCAGGGGGTCTGGAACGGACACTGTTGCGGATTCAGGGGGTCTGGAGCTGACACTAGTGCGGACTCAGGGGGTCTGGAGCCGACACTGGAGTGTACTCAGGGGGGCTGGAGCCGACACTGGAGCGGACTCAGGGGGGCTGGAGCCAACACAGGAGTGGACTAAGGGGCTGGAGCAGACTCTGGAGCGGACTCAGGGGGGCTGGAGCCGACACTGGAGTGGCTTTAGGGGGGCTGGAGCCGACACTGGAGCGGACTCAGGGGGGCTGGAGCCGACACAGGAGTGGACTAAGGGGCTGGAGCCGACACTGGAGCACACTCAGGGGGGCTGGAGCTGACACTGGTGCGGACTCAGGGGGGCCGGAGCTGACACTGGAGCGGATTCAGGGGGTCTGGAGCTGACACTGGTGCGGACTCAGGGGGGCTGGAGCTGACACTGGAGCGGAGTCAGGGGGTCTGGAGCCGACACTGGAGCGGACTCAGGGGGTCTGGAGCCGACACTGGAGCGGACTCAGGGGGGCCGGAGCTGACACTGGAGCGGATTCAGGGGGTCTGGAGCCGACACTGGAGTGGACTCAGGGGGGCTAAAGCTGACACTGGAGTGGATTCAGGGGGTCTGGAGCCGACACTGGAGCGGACTCAGGGGATTTGAAGCCGACACTGGAGCGGACTCAGGGGCTGGAGCAGACTCTAGGGCTGGTGTGGATTCTGGACTGTGCTCAGGGGCTGGTGTGGATCTGTGTGTGGCCCAGATACATAAATGTTAGAGCCATTATAGACACAGTGCAATGCTTTCCGGGTTGAGCTCTGTGATTTCCCTCACTGGGAATTTTTCTCACTGGAACGGACTCGGGAACATTACTCACTGGAACGGACTCGGAAAAGTTACTCACTGTAAGCATGTGACCATTTGTCTAGACAATGCTGTAATCCTTGGACCTGAAGACACTGTGACCATTTGTATTGGCAGTGCTGCAAAGTCTATCTGTAACGGTCTTGCATTCTGTCACGGTCACTGGCTATAATGAAGAAGGAGATACTCAAAATAAATCTTTAATCCAGGAATCAAAATAATAATCAGGACAATAACTCAGAGGAAACAACCACAAACACACTGATGTCAAACAAAAACAATGCAAGACAGAAACTGAGGGCTTAAATACATGAGAGCAAACAAAGGAGGTGATGATATAATTAACGAGACACACCAGGACAGCATACTCAAATCAATCAGAAACCATAGAAACAAAGACTATCAACCAGACAACATTAGGTTACAGCAACAAAAGTCACTTTTAATGGTTAGATCAGTGAAAAATAGGCCCACACAACCACTTTTTACAGTGGGATTTCAACTGTCGCAATACCTCGATCCTAAAATGTTTACTTTTCTCTCTTGTTTTCTTGTTGAAATGAAAATTCATTCCACATTCCCTACTAAGAAATGAGCCAAGTCAACCCCACATGTCAAAAAGAAAGAGATAGAAAATTGCAAATGCAAAGAAACAGAACTCTTTCTAACTTGGAAGCAAAGATGTGTTTAAATGGGAAAAAAGCATGAAGGATTGAAAAACGTGACTAGACAGACAGTAGGTTTTTATTCAAACGTCCTGAAATTGTACACGAATTAGTGCCGCATGGAACAAGTCTTTACATATATACACGCCACCTTAACCACTTTTACTGTTTCCTTTTATTTCCTTTCTCTTTTGATTTCACAGTCATCTCATTCTCCACCACCTCTTATTGACCTGTTAGGCCTACTTCTCCTCGATTACCGCTTTACCACATCTGCTGAACTGACCCCTCGGCTGTCTTTTGAAAATCTTTAACCCCACAGCCCTTTCTGTTTCCCTCAGCAGAATAGAAAGTGCTGCATGTAAATTTCCCTCAATCACAGCAATAGCAGGTATCTCCACTGGCTTCACTGTGAAGGGGAGCAATCAGGGATAATTGAGTGCCTTTCAGAGGGAGCCTGGTGCATTCACTCCCATTCAACACCCGTCCATTCACCACATAATCACTCTTTAAACACACCCAATTTTCTGGGGAGCAAAGTCCTGTTATAATTTTGCTTAAGTGTATTCGGAAATCATACCCCCTTTGAGCCGAGATAATTGAAATCAAATCCTTTTCATGGCTACTGACATTTTTTGCACTGCCAATCCAGTGTAATTAATTGTTGAAAATTGAGCCTGAATATCGTTAAATAGAAGGCCATTATGTTTTGAAAGGGGTGAAATGATCTACCATGCAGTGCAGAGATGTCAACGTGTGCTTCAGTTAAATGTCTTTGTTTCCCATGACTGTTTGCTTTGTAAAGATTAACATAAATTGACTCATAGCATCAGTTTTACTCGAGTCTTACTTAGAGGATGGACCCTTTCTTATTA